AATAGATGGGGAAACAGTGGAAACAGTGAGAGACTATTTTTTTGGGCTTCAAAATCACAGCAAATGGTGACTACAGCCATGAAATTAAAAGATGCTTGCTCCTTGGAAGAAAAGCTATGACCAACCTGGACAGCATATTAAAAAGCAGAGACATTACTTTGCCAACAGAGGTCCATTTAGTCAAAGGAAATGGTAACCCACTCCAGTATTCTTGTCTGGAGAATCCCATGGACAGAGGAGCCTGGTAGGCCACGGGGTCGAAAAGAGTTGGACATGACTGAGCGACTTCACTTTCACTTTTATGGTTTTTCCAGTAGTCATGTATGGATGTGAGAGTTGGACTATAAAGAAAGCTGAGTACTGAAGAATTGATCCTCCCCCCCCCAATTTATTTTTATTAGTCGGAGGCTAATTACTTTACAGAATTGATGCTTTTGAACTGTGGTGTTGGAGAAGACTCTTGAGAGTCCCTTGGACTGCAAGGGGATCCAACCAGTCCATCCTAAAGGAAATCAGTCCTGAATATTCATTGGAAGGACTGATGCTGAAGCTGAAACTCCAGTACTTTGGCCACCTGATGTGAAGAACTGACTCACTGGAAAAGACCCTGATGCTGGGAAAGACTGAAGGTGGGAGGAGAAGGGGACAACAGAGGATGAGACGGTTGAATGGCACCACTGACTCGATGGGCATGAGTTTGAGTAAGCTCCAGGAGTTGGTGATGGACAGAGAAGCCTGGCATGCTGCAGTCCATGGGATCATGAAGAGTCGGACACGACTGAGCAACTGAAGTGAACTGAGTTTCCCCTCTCGGGGATCCAGGGATTGGCTGCTGAAGGACTTGGAGGAGGTTTGATGCCTCTTTGGCAGCACATTGCGGAGCCTCCAGATTAGTGGAGGCCCTTAACAGGCAGCCTGCATGACTTTTAACCACCTGACATACACATGAAAATATGATTTCCCAGTCCTATCCCCCCTGAAGTTCTGATTCAGTACAATGGATGTGGCCTTTTAAGTAAGGTGCTGATTTGCCTCTGGTATACGTGCTCTGTTGAGTTACATACTTAAACAGAACTACTGTTGAGAATTGGTGTGCTTCAGTTAAAGAGATATTCAGGCTAAGCTAGTTGTTGTCATGTTGTCATGAACTTTTCAAGACCGAGAATGTGATATTTAAAAAATAATTTAGCCTTTGGTGCTTTGCCTCAGGTGCTATTGTACTGTAGGCTGAGATAATCATTATTTAGAAGAAAAAACAAGTTTTGGGGTGTTTTTCACTTGCTGATTGTTTGGATGTTGGTGAAATGAAAATTTGACCCAAGGTCTTGGAAACATTTGTTACTATTATCTCTTCTGTCCTGTCGTTTGGTAAAGTGAGATGAAGAGCCTGTGGTACTCTTTTCATAGATGGAGAACTTGGTCAATTTCCTGGGCTTAAAAAAAACAAACCCATGAGTGTGCATTATTTTGCTGTTTCAAAGTGTCTGTACATGCATTCCTTTACTCAACCTTCACAGGAAACTGTGTGCAGGTAATAGCATTGTCTCTGATCTGCAGGGGAGGGAATCTAGGCACCGGGCAGTTATGCAACCTGCTGAAGGTCACAGGATGAATGAGTGATGACAGCAGCACCGACTGCCTTCTGTGGCTCCTGCCATCATACTCTATTCAACACATCCACGGGCCTCTCTAGAGGCCTCTGAGACTGGAACCCGGAGACCCTGATTGTTGGGGAAGCAAGCTGTTTTTTCCAGGCCCGTGGATGTCTCTCACAAGATTTAAGATCCACTGTGACTGTTTGCCAGCTCCGTCCTCACGTCACTTCCCAAGCAGGGAAAAATGAAAACAAACCTGCTTCTGATGGTTCCTCTTGGACTTCTGGGATTTAACAAGGATAGATGGCAACTTAATTTAAAAGAATGGAGGTAAAAACAGTAGATAGAAGTGACAAATGGACACGGCCCACATACGTGACACCCTCCCCCCGCCCCCCGCCCCGCTCCCCGGCTGCCTACTTACCTCCTGTCACAGCTCTGTGTCTGGCACCTTTGTCTCCCCCCACCCCCTGCAGGGCACCCAGGGAGGCGGGGTGGTGAGCACAGACAGTTGTTAGGATTTATGGGACCGGTGTAGTCCCTCTTCCCACCAGCGTGGTAGGGAGGGGAGGCAGGATCCGTTTCCTCCTGGGTAAACATTTTCACAGGAAGCATTTATCAAATGTCAGCAGGGCAGTGCTGGGTCTGGAATCAGTCAGGCAGGATCTGCTTCTCTCCTGCTCTCCTGGGCGGGCGAAGGCTGTGGGGTTTCTCTGGCCTGTTCACACCCTCTCTGTCTCGTGGCCCGTCTTCTCTCAATGAGCTGAGTGATGGGAGCAGAGAACAGATCCTAGGACACCCTGGGTCCACTCCATCCTTTTTAATAAACAGGGTTTCTGCCAGCCTGAGCCCTGGGGTTCCTGCAAGCCTGAGCCCTGTAATGAAATGGACTGTCCAGATCCTTCTAGAAGAAATGCTGATAAGGAAATGCCTGGAAAAGACCTAAGCAAATAAAGCTCCATGACTCCTCAGGGGCTGGCCTGGGCTGGCCTTGTACTTTGAAACCATCTCCCTTCCTCCAAGGAGGGGACTTGTACTTGACTTTTCAGGTTGGGGAAAGTTGGCCAAGCAGGACCCCTGATTCAAGGCTCTCTCCTGGGTTTTCTTTTCCAGTCTTTCTACAGGTGCAGCAAGTGAGAAGCCTTCCCTCACCACACCTGCTTTTCCCTCATGCTGCCTACAACTGTCATCTTTTCTTCTATGAGAAGCAGTATGAAGTAGTGAAGAGGTAAATCTCAACTCTGATGGTTATTAACTGTATCACCTTAGGCAAGTGGCTGCACCTTCTGGGGCCCAGTTTCTTCATCCATCATTTCTTTTTGTAAATTAGCTGAGAAACGTCTCTGTTGGCACTGGGTGAGATGTGGATAAAAATGTTACCTCCTTACAGGTTTGTTGTAAAGACTAAATGAGACAATTCAGGGAAACACTCAGCAAATCATAGAATAGGGACTCGGTAACTGTGAGCAAATACAGTTATCCTCTCTCATTGTTTCCCATCTGTCTTTGGAGAATTTGAAAGCCTGTTGATAGCCTTCCAGGCCTCCAACCCTCATGTCATCACATAGAACCCTGTTGCCCTTTTCTCTGGATCAAGGCTGTTGTCTCCCCAGACTTCTCCGTGGAACCACAGCCCGTCACTCACACACTCGGTATTTTGACCATTCAACAAAAAAAGCATGGATCGCGTTCTTTGTGTAGCAGAGAGGAATAAGAAAAGTCAGGAACGGGGCTGGAGGCAGCAGAATACATCACCAACTGCAGCTCGATCAGAGACAGAGGTGAGACTCTGAAAGAGCAGTAAGTAGCGCTCCTTCTGGGGAAGAAGTGGTTATTTCCAGCCAGGAGTCTGAAGAAAGGCTTCATGGAGGAGGAGCGACTGGGCTGTGCTTTGAAGGAGGAGGAGAGTCAGTGGGTCCTGCGGAGGTGGGAACATGCTTGAGCTGGGAGTCCCGTCAAGCAAATGAAACCACTTTGGCCCAAGGAGATGAAGTCTTTGGTCTCTGGGCTCTCACTTAATTGTGCAGACATTTTAAAGCTTCCACTTTGGATTATTGGATTGCCAATAATACTTGTGTGTTATCTTTCACATACATGCTGCATAAATCTCACAAAAAATTGAGTCAGAACAGAATTCTTACGCCTACTTTGTAGATGAGGAAACTGTGACTCAGCGAAGGGAAGGGTTTTGACTATGTACATAAAAGTGGCCTGTGAGAACTCAGCTCTCATGGCTCCAAGTCCAGAGCAGTTTCTGTGGCATAAAACTGCTCCCACTTCCCCCCATTGCCCCCTCTCCCCAAATCCTGTTGACTCATCCCACTTCACCCAGGCTGGTAAAGTTGGTCTTTGGAGGCAGAAGAGCTCTGAGCTGGTCCCTCAGACTCAGCTGATGCTGCTTCAGCATTTGCCAGGACTCTGCAGTAACATCCTTAGATATCCTCCTGCTTCCATCGGATGGCCTCCAATCCATCTTCTATATTCATGTCTGTGATAACCTTGCTGAAGCTGAGATCTGACCATGCTGCACTCTTACTTGAAAACCTTCAGTTGTTATCCTGCCTCTTATAGGACCAACCCCAAATCCTTCACCTGTTCTTCCAGGCCCTTCAGGATCCATCCTGCACTTTTGGCCTCTCGCAGATTCCTTCCTTGGGCTTCCTGTGTGTGAGAGGCTGAATTTCTTGCGGTTCCCCAGATGCTTCAAGCTGTCCCTCTCATAGTTTTGGGCCTACAGGGGCTCAGAAGCCAGACTTCCTTGTTATAATAGTCAGACCCACCACTTGAATAGCTGTGAGAGTGGTTACAAGTGCTTCAACAGCACTGAGTCAGCTTCCTTATCTGTAAAATGGGGATGATCCTAGAACCCATCCTGGGAGGATGTGGCACAGACTCTTCTTCATAGATATATGATGATTAGCCCAAGGTTTGGATCATAGCAGGTGTTTAATAGATACTGTGGGGTTGCTTGCAGTGCAGAAAGACTTCCCCTGACTGGTGAGCTTCCTCTGCTGGACCAGTTCTGGGGACCCTTCTTGTGCTGCCTCCTCCAGGAAGCCTGCCTGAACTGCCTCTTGGGAGTGCCTCTCACCCTCTCTCCCGTGCTCCCAGGCGCGCCTGCACGAGTCTTTTCTGCGCTCCTCCCCCCGTAATCGCCTCCTCAGCACACTGAGAGCTCCTTGAGGGCAGAGTGTCGTCTTTGAGAGCTGGGGTCACGTGTGAGTCTCTGTGGTGCTTGCTGAGTCCAGCACGACCCTGACACGTGGGAAATGCTCATCCCAGTGCGTGGAGGGGACCCTTGGTGTGCAGGGCTGGCACTGAGGGCCCCTGTCAGTGGCCCCGTCACTGCTATGTTGGGTGACTGACCCTGGACACCTCTCTCTCTCTTTCTTGCCCTGGAAATAGAATGGATGACTGGCCTCCCTGGTCTGACAGGTCCCAAAGACCACAGTACCTACAGGACCACACAGATACCAACCTGGAAGGTATGACAGTCTTTGGCAATGAAACAGTTAATGTCTCGTCATGTGAGCCTGGCGTGGATTTACCGGGAGGTCATAAGGCTCACCACAGAGCCCAGCTGCCTTCTGAGGCCCTGTGCTTGTGTTATGCTTGGCACATTGTATTCTGTTTCTTAAAGATGTGCTCCCAAACCATACCAGCTTCAAGACCCCTGAATCCCGGCAGCCCTAGAGCTCATCTTTCCCCATCTTCTTCTTCGTGTCTGGGGCTCCAGGTCCAGGGGGAGGACCAGGAGCCAGGCCCCTCCCCTGGCTTTCCCACACTCCCCTGTACTGAAAGCAGCTCTGGGAGTTGCCAGCCTCCATGCAGAGCCCCTCCCGTCGCCCTCACCCACGGCTCCCTCAGGTCTTTTAAAACCTCCCGGTAGACTTGGCGCTGCACCACACCCACCCCTCTGCAGGCCTGGGGGCGGCCTCCTGTGAGTGCAGGCCTCCGTGGACTTTGGGCCCTGTGGCGCCTCCCTTCCTGGGCCGCACCTCCAGCCTCATCCACCACAACCCACATCCACAGCTCCCACTCCAACCTCCAGGGCAGCCCTGTGGGTCAGAAAGTTGAAGTCCCTTGACCTGTACCCATGGGTGGGAAGACGGAGTAGGGGGCTGGCGGGGTGATGTCAGATGCATTCAAACCATTTCCTTTGAGAGGAAGTGCCATTTTCATAAATACGCTATTTGGAGGCTACCTACACACGCCCTGCGGGTCACAGTTCTCAGTCCTGGTTGCACTTTAGAATGACTCAGGGAGCTTGAAAATATACAGGTGCCCGAGTCTCACTCCAGATTGTGTTCTGATTGGTGTGGGATGCAGCCGGGGACAGGCATTTTTAAATCTCACCAGATGATTCTATAAACATGAGGCCACAATTGAGAATCACTGTTTTGGGGAACAAGTATATGTTCCGTAAATATGAAGGCAGATGAAAATTAAGGGTTTGGAGCAAAATGTGTCTGAGCATGAGCAACATACCCTTGCTTGCTAAACTTGCCTCCCTGAGTTGACCTGAAAGAAACACTGTTGCCCCCCAGGCCCTGTGTGTGGTGGGGAGAGGCGCACTGGCTCAGGCCACCCCATACCTCCTGGAGGAGTTTTAACGTAGAGACGCCTGGGGGAGCAGAGCCAAGCCTTCTTTATTCTGTAGTGACCTGGGCCTGAGGCAGAGGTCACAGGCTTGCCCGGAGCTTGGGATGAGGGTCCAGTGTTCATATTCCAGCTGAGCCCCTAGTGCTGCCCCACCTGTTCCTCTCCTGGCTCCTCAGCTCAGAAACTTGTACCGTCGTCGTCTTGGCTGTTCAGTCTCCCCAGTTCACTCACCCTGGACTCTACCTCGACTTCCATCCAAATCCAGGTGGTCCCAATGCTCTGTGTCCTCCTCCACTAGCATCTGCTAGAAGCCCTTCCTCCCCCACTCCCTGCCCAGGCCTCCCGGGTTCTCTCTTGATGTATTGGAAGTGTACTAGAAGACTTCCTGCTTTCTCTTTCTACATCAGATCATATTCCTGTCTTAGCAAGTCTCTTCCTTTCTTTTTTTGAATTTATGCTGAAGTCTGGTGTGTTAACTTTCTGTTGTATGGCAAAGCAACTCAGTTATACATACATACATACATACATATATATATATACATTCTTTTTTATATTCTTTTCCATCGTAGTTTATCACAGGATATTGAATATAGCTACCTGTGCTATGAAGTAGGACCCTGTTGTTTATCCATTCTATATATAATAGTTTGCATCAACTAAACCCAGCCTTCCAATCCATCCCTCCTTCACCGCACCTCCCCTTTGGCAACACAAGTCTGTTCTTTATGTCTGTGAGTCTGTTTCTGTTTCACAGAGAAGTTCATTTGTGTCATGTTTTAAGTGATATCATATGGTATTTGTCTTTTTCTTTCTGACAGGAAGTCTCTTCCTCCCCCCGCCCCCAACCCCCTTTCTCAAATGCAGTCTCCAAGAGCCAAAACCTCCTGTGAGTTCCCTTGATACAGCCCAGTTGTTCTTAATGTGTCTTCTGAGGACCAGCAGCATCAGTGTCACGTGGGGACTTGTTAGGAGAGCAAGCTCTCGGGCCCCAGCACAGGCCCACTGAATCCAAGTTCTGAGGGTGGGGCTGGGTAATCTGCTTTAACAAGCTCTCCAGGTGCTTCTGCTGTGTGGCCCGGACAACTGAATCCACATTCCCGAGTGTGGCATTCATGGTCTCGCACACTTGTCCCAAATGACCTGTTTGTCCACTGCTCAACTCTTACACCTCCCACATCCCTTCCTGTGGGACTCTGCTCATTCTGTTCCCTGCCTTGCAAAGCCTTTGGCCACTTCCAAGTATCTAAATCCATCTCTCCTTCAAAACCCAGCTCAAACGTCATGTATTTTGGCAGATCCCAAAGATACTGCTTCCAGGAACATTCTTCCCTCCTCTGACCTCTGTAGCATTATTTTCTTCCTTTCTGTCTCTCTCCCTCCCCTTTCTTTCTCTTTTTCTGAATTTTACCTTTAAAGCAGGGTTTCTTTCAGCCATGATTATCTATTTGGGACTCAAAAAAAAAAAAAAGAAAAAGAAATGTATTCTCAGGCCATACTCCAGAGCAATTAAATGAGAATTCCAGGATGAAGGCTGTCATCATGTATTTCAAAAGTTCCCCAGATAATTTTAATGCCTACCCAAAATTAAGTCCTTCTCTCCTAAAGTGACCACAGGGGAAACTATGACAGGAAGAGAGATGAATTTACAGTTAAGAGACCAGGCTCTGCTCCCAATTGACCGTTAAACTTTGGGCGGGTCACTTGCCTGTCTGAGCTGCTGTTTCCTAAACTGCCATTTGGGTCAGTGTTTTAGATTGGGGGCTCTCAAAGTTGGTTGAGGGCTGATCCCACTCCTAGGAATTTCCTTTTCATGGATCTGGAGGCAGCCTGGATTCTAACATGTAGCCAGTGTTGAGAACCACACTTGTAGATCTTATCTAAGGGCCATGAAATGGTGTCTGGTGGTTTACTTTTAGGAGCAAGGATGCCTGCCTGTTCAAATACACAGACTTCTCTGCCCTGGCACCTACTAAATTTTCCTTCCAATAATGAATGCCCACCTTATTTCAGTGATGAAGGGCACGTGAAGTTTCCTTGTCTGCTGCAGGACAGCCAGAGATAGTTGAATGGAAGGTGACCGTGTTGGGTGTGTTTGTCCATGTGGCAAAAGGAGGATTAAGGATCAGATGAAAATCCTCACCAGAGGCCAGGCAGAGAGGGTCACTGAAGGGGCCCATTCTTTAGCAACCTTTAGGTGTCTCAGCTCTGAAAAACCCTGTCACACCAGCACAGAGGGAGAGACAAGCTTTCCTTCACAGTCAGGTCAGGGGCTCATTTAAAAGCAATCATAAAAGGAGATCTCATTAGGACCAGAAGAACGGGAAAGTTATGGAAGCAACCAAAATGTCCATCAACAGAAGAATGGATAAAGAAGGATGTGGAAGATATATTTGAGTGATTTTAATAGATAATCATGGTTGAAAGAAACCCTGCTTTAAAGGTAAAACATGGTTGAAAGAAACTCTGCTTTAAAGGTAAAACTATATATGTGTATATACAATACATATATAACAGAATATTACAACAATAATACACAACAGAATATTACTCAGCCATAAAAATATGAAATAATGTCATTTGCATTTGCAGCAGGGATGGACCTAGAGATTATCAGACTAAGAGAAGTAAGTCAGAGAGAGAAGGACAAATATTATAAGTCACTTATATGAGGAATCTAAAATATGACACAAATGAACTTATCTGTGAAACAGAAACAGACTTACAGATATAGAAAACAAACTTATGGTTACCCAGGGGAAAAGGAGTGAGGGAGGAATAAATTAGGAGTTTGGGATTAGCAGGTACAAACTACTATAAATAAAACAGGTAAGCAACAAGGTCCTACTGTATTGCACATGGAACTATATTCAATATCCTGTAATAAACTATATGGAAAAGAATATGAAAATGAATATATATATATATCTCTAAATTACTTTGCTGTGTACCTGAAACCAACACAACATTGTAAATCAACTATACTTCAATTTTAAAAAAATAAGGGGTAAAAGACAGGATGCACCAAGAGCAGTGGAGGTCTGAAACTGGATGAGACGTCGGACTCCAGCTAGAAGAAGGCAAAATGACCCAGCTGCGCAGGGAGGGTGGAGAGGAGGAAACGGCCTGCTTATTTAAGGGGTGGGGGCAGGGAAGGGAAGTGAATTCTTAGAGCAGCACCTCTCTAATGAAGGTGTTACTGATCCCCAGAGACGCCCAGCAGCCATCCACAACAAGCCCTCTGTTTATCTGCACATCAGGTTGTTGCCCAAAGAAAACCGGCCCAAGTTCAGGGGAGCCCAGAGCAGGGACCCTCCACCTCAGGGCCAGTGGAAAAATGAAGATAATCAAGATGGGAGGGACAGTCCCTGAGGTCTTCATCCCCTCCCCCACCGCCCGCATTGTACAATGAACCCCTTCTTACCCTGTTCTGTTCTTCCACACCCTTCCCCACAGTGGTCCCTTCTCCCTGGAGATAGGCTGGTCCTAAGTCTGGCTGCTGCAGCAGCGGGGAGGGGCCGTATTTTGCAGTGAGAAGTGATGCTGCCTTGGCCAGAATTGTTTGCAGAGGAGGAGACAGTCCTGGGGGTGTGATGTCTGGCCCAGGTCAGTCTTGAGAGCCAGGACAGAGGTCAGGCCGTCTGTCTGGAGCTTGGAGCACTAGACCATACTTCCTGATGACTTTACAGTCTAAGCCATAGAGAAGGAAAATGCGCAAGGAAAAGGAGCTTTGTTTTGACTCTTTGACGCTGGCTGGGACCAGCTCTTCCTGCCAGGGGGTGGAGTTGGGAGGAGGTGAGGGTGAGGATGCAGATGTCACAAGGCAGCAGGTGTGACATGTCTTCAATCCCCTTCCCCCCTTTCCCGGTTTCTGCTGAAGGCTGAGGGGGTTGTTCCCTAAGGTTAAGATGCCTGGGATGCTCAAGGCAGACTGAAAGTTTTGGGGTTTGAAAGTTGGTCAGATAGAACTTTTTGGTCCCAAAAAGGGAGAGAAGTCATAAGTCACCCATCCAGAAGGCTCAGCATGAATTTGGAGGCATCTATCCTCTTTGCTAGGCCATCCTTTGGTCGCCTTTGAAGTAAATGGGTCAGAAGGGCCTCAATCCCATTTCCCTGGCAAGGGCTGGGTGGGAACAAGAGAACTGCATCTCAGGTTTGGTGTGGTTAGCGCTTCAAGTGGATGGGAAAAGGCCAAGAGGCATTTCCAGACCCCTAGATTTTTAAGTAGTCGAAGAATCCCAAAGTTGGAAGGGAGCTTAGACTAATTTAGTATCTGCCTGCCTTGGGTGGCCTGACCTGCTGGTTTTTCAGGTGAAGAGACCAAGGACCTGCAGGGTGAAGTTCTCCAAGGAGCTGTCAGCAGTCAGGCCCACAGCAAGCTTGCCATCCTCAGCCCCAGGCACTCGCTGTGGCTCCCTGGATGCTTCCTCCTTGGGACTCAACTCTGGCCCTTTGGCTTGCTCTTAATATCCCGGCCCTCTGGAAGGG